GGCGTGAATCAAGGCGATCCTTTATCGCCAGTGTTGTCCAACCTCTGTCTTGATGGAGTGGTTTGGAGTTGGGCGTGGTCTGTAGAAGACAGGGTTATGGCGCCAATATTGGGCAGTGCCTGAGGGGCCATCGCCTTGTCTTCGTGGCGTTCGCAGATGATCGAGCCCTGATCGCGCGAAGCTGGCTTTCTATCAAATGGATGATTCTGACGTGACGGATGCATTGGCGAGGAGGGATGGCCCTTGCGCCCGAGCAAGTGCGAGGTGCAGACCAACTGGGCGAACTTCAAGCACAGGGGCCAGGCCCCTTTGGCTGACAGCTTCTGCATCGATATGCTGACGGAGGGAGATCATTCGGAACGACTCGGAACTGTCGTTTCCCTGGAAGACGCCGCCGGGGCCGAGATCGAGAACGGATCCTGGCTGGGTGGGGGAAGTTTGGGGATTTGGCTTGTTGTTGAGCAAATCGTATCATTGGAAAAGCGTCTGAAGTTGTTTGACACCATTGTCGCAGAGAGCCGTCGGTGGGCTGCTGCGTCGTGGGCGCCGCGAACTGAAGGATGACGGAGATTCAAAGCCACGCAGAGCGCCATGCTCCGGCGCATCGTTGGCTGCGGGAGACAGGGCGGCGAGCAAGGAGTGGATTGGGTCCAACGTGCCGCGCATAAGGCGCGGGGGCGCGCAAGCAATGTCGGCCTTGCAGAATGGGCACCGGAGCACTTTCGACGGAAGTGGAGATGGGCCGCAAGAGTCGCGACATCCAGCTGTTCGTCCTGGATGAGGAAGGTGGCCGCGTGGAGAGATTCGGAATGGCAGGCCGCTGTATTATCCGAGCTGGGATCGTCGCGCCTCGCGCGCCCGGCGTCGTGGCCGTGGATGCGTTTCGAAGGTTCTCTGCGGAGATTCAGCAAAACGCTGGGCCTGGGCAGCTGGCAAACAATGGTGAAAAAACAGCGAGAATGGCACCGTAGAGCTGACGATTACGTTGCTTGGACTGCTGGCTTTCACTGGTGAGGTCAACCCCACCGCACGTTCAATTACTCTCAGGAGGGGAAAAAACACACAGACACAATTAATTGTCGATTCCAAAGAAAATATGGTAAAATATGGGAATTGTGCGGGAAGAATATAGGAAAATATGGGGGATCTGTTTATTTGTGTGTATTTATTTGTGTGTCCCAGGGCCCCTTCATACTCAGTGTGAATGTTGCCTTCCCTTCTCCACTGAACTGGCGCCGTCGCGGCCCCGCCTCTCCCCCGTATTGTCTTACCGCGAAGGGTCCCTGGGCCTCCTGCTCCTGCTGCTCGTCTCGCTCTTTCTCCTGTGGCTGCGCTGCTGCTGCTGCTGCTGCTCCTCCTCCTCCTGCTGCTCCTGCTGCTCCTCCTGCTGCTGCTCCTGCTGCTCCTCCTGCTGCTGCTGCTGCTGCTGCCGCTGCTCCTCCTTCGTCATGCTCCTCTTCCTCCTGCCTATCCGC